GTTTGTTCTTCTCCCCAGCCTCTGAGTCGTCTTCTGTCTTTCCACCTAGAGGAGAAGACCTCTTCGGTCCGCTGAGTGGTGGGAGGTGCAGATTCCAGGGTCCTTTTCCCGTGGGCGCCGAAACGCGCCTAGGGGTGTCGGAGCTGCCCTCTCGCAGGTCGCCGCGGTGCCGGATTTGGGGTGGCCACAGGGACGCGTCAGGAGCGGGATCGGGGCCGGGTGACGGCAGCCTCTGCCCCTCCCTGTGCGGGGTTTGCCCAAGCAGTTAATTGCCACCCTGATCCACTCCCTGCAGGAGTGAGGCCGGCCGAGGACACCGGCGATTTCGGTGGGAGTTGGCCGGAGCCAAATGCAGCCTCTCGGTCCCCCTCCCTGTAATATGAGCCCTCTTTCCTATTCCCCTTGTGTACACGGCATCGGAAACGCCTGCAGAGACAAGGCGCGCGCGGCTTGCCTTTCTTGTTAGTAAACGCTGCCAGAAGTTAGAAAACAAGCCTCGTGATTTCTCCATCCGTTCTGGGCTGTGCATGTATACATAGAAAGATGTGGTTATCTCTTCAACCCATAATCGAGGAAAGACTTTCTACTTTCATCCCCCTTTCTTTACGGCGTGCTAAGGAGGCAGCTTCAAGGACTTAACTGATCCGTAGTGGCAAAGGAAATTCCTACTGGAGAAATCCTTTGGATTTTGTGAGAAATAAAAGCAGAAATTACACCTTTGCAGCAGAGCACATTTGGACGTTGTAAAACTGAACAGTAGCATTGGGCAGTTGCAGTGGCTGAGCAATTTTCACGGTAAATTCTGTTGTTAACAGCTGTTAATATTTATGTTAACAACAAGCACTTAGAACATCTAAAATCCCTGTCACCCCATCGTTTAGCCAAATGGCACTCACCCAGCTTTAAAGCATTTTGGCAAAGAGGTCAAGCGTTAAAAAAGAATCGTTTTATCCATCATTTCTGGGGTAGTCCCATAAAAGGTGAGAATATACCACTCTCCCTTTGCGCTAACCAGAAGAGTCACAGGGACTTTAGTTAAACCGCAGGCCTTTTGCAGGGGGGAACCTGGGATACTTTATGAATATTCAGAGAAATTCATGCCTCGAATGTTTTAGGCATATTTAATCCAAGTATGGGCAGGCAGTTAATATAACCTAAGAAACCTCCATGACTGCCAAAGCCCTCAGCTATCTGGTAGAGATGAATGTTGGGGAGTTATTTTCCATAAAAAATTAGCCTTGCTCAGGTGTATCCGTGGCCAACGGTGAGAAAAGTGAAAGACACCACTAGCCACTTGGGCTTATTTTAACTGACTGATTCAAACCAGAAGCTGTACACAGGCATCCCCAACTCAGAGAAATTTTGCACCCACGTGTTTCTTTGAGCACAGCATGGAGGACCTTTGCGGGTCCTGCTCAGAAGAGTGGACTCAGCTAGTCATTTCCCCGGCGTAGTGTAATTTCCAGCCCATCAGAAGCAGGCAAGAAGTGCACAGCACCGATAGCGCCCGCGTCACAGTCTGGAAAGCAGCTGGAAAAACTGCTGGTTGGTCCAAAGGCAACAGATCTTACAGAACGAGGACAGCAAAAAAAAATTTTTTTTTTGATTTTTGACCATTTTCTTCTTC